TGTCTGGGGTGTCTGGGGTGTCCGGCGTGTTTGGCGTTGTCGGGGTGTCTGGGGTTGCCGTGGTGGAGCCGTCGGGCGGGCGGGACATGAAATGCAACATTCACTCAGGAATGGGGAATTCAGTCGGGTGGGCGGGCGGGACCTCACATGAAGCCTTGCGTCGTCGACGTGGTCGTCGTGGTTCGCCGTGCGCCGCCGCCATCGTCGTCGTCGTCGTCGCCGTCGCCGTCGCCGTCGCCGCATCGGCCGCGGCCGCCGCCGCCATCGTCGTCGTCGTCGTCGTCTTCGTCGTCGTCGTCGTTGTCGTCGTCGTCGCCGTCGTCGTCGTCGTTATTGTCGTCGTCGTCGTCTTCGTAGTCGTCGTCGTCGTCGTCGTCGTCGTCGTCGTCGTCGTCGTCGTCGTCGTCGTCGTCGTCGTCGTCGTCGTCGTCGTCGTCGTCGTCGTCGTCGTCGTCGTCGTCGTCGTCGTCGTCGTCGTCGTCGTCGTCGTCGTCGTCGTCGTCGTCGTCGTCGTCGTCGTCGTCTCGTCGTCGTCGTCGTCGTGTCGTCGTAGTGGGGGGGGGAGGGGTGAAGGAGGGGGGAGGGGGAGGGAGGGAGGGAGGGAGGGAGGAGGGGGCGGGGAGGGGGGGGGGAGTCCTTGGCCGGCGGCGAATAAAGGGGGGGGGTCGTGACCACCCCCAGGTTTTCCAGGGGAGGGGTGGTGACCCCCCTCGCGTTCTCGGTTTGTTTGAGGGGTGACCCCCCCCCTCGGTTTTCTGCCAGCAGCAGCACAATTATCTCTTTCCATGGTTTATTTTTGCAGGGCCGCGGAGGCTCCAGGGGTTCCCGAACAGTAGGTCGATGAGGACTACTGGTGGAATTGGCGGGTGGGGTCGGGCAGGCAGGGCATTAAAGTGTGGGGCCTCATGGAATACGAGGAGAACTTGGGTGGACGGGTGGGATCTGGCTGACGATGGTGATGACGAGTATGACTATCAAAATCTTGCTGATGACGATGGTGATGACGAGTATGGTTTTGAACATGCTGCGGATGACGATGCCGATGACATGCATCAACTTGCTTATGATATCGATGGTCATGCTGATGACGATGGTGATTCTCAAGCTGCTGTCGATGACGATAGTGATGACGTCTCCTCCTCCTCCTCCTGCTCCTCCTCCTCCTCCTGCTCCTCCTCCTCTTCCTCCTCCTCCTCCTCCTCCTCCTCCTCCTCCTCCTCCTGGGTGGTCCGAAGGTGGAGTAGGAGGAGGAGGAGGGGGGACACCAAGAGGTGCTTCTTCTGGATGGTCCTCCTCCTGGGTGTTCCGAAGGTGGAGGTGGAGGTGGTGATGATGACGAGTATGACTATCCAGACCTTGTTGATGACCATGCTGATGACAAGTATTACTTCCAAGATGCTGCTGATGACGATGCCGATGACAAGCCGTGCTCTGAGGATGCTGTTGGTGACGATGGTGATAACGAGTATGACTATCAAAACCTTGCTGATGACGATGGTGATGACGAGTATGTTTTTGAACATGCTGCTGATGACGATGCCGATGACATGCATCGGCCCGCTGATGATATCGATGACCATGCTGATGACGATGGTGATTCTCAAGCTGCTGTCGATGACGATGGTGATGACGTCTCCTCCTCCTCCTCCTCCTGCTCCTCCTCCTCTTCCTCCTCCTCCTCCTGGGCGGTCCAAAGGTGGAGGAGGAGGAGGAGGAGAAGGAGGAGGAGGAGGAGGAGGGGGGACACCAAGAGGTGCTCCACCTGGGTGGTTCTCCTCCTGGCTGGTCCGAAGGTGGAGGTGGAGGTGGTGATGATGACGAGTTTGACTATCCAGACCTTGTTGATGTCCATGGCGATGACGAGCTGCGCCTCGCCGAGAACGTTCCGGTCCGACCTAAGAACCGAAATTGGTTCGAGGGTTGAGGAGAAGACGGAGGAGAAGGGAGGGGATACGATGAGGACCGAGGGAAAATAGAAATCCGAGGGGAGGGATTCCGATAACGAGAAGGAGGTGCAGGAAGGGGAAGAGGAGGACAAGGAGGGCGAGGAGCAGGGAGGGGAGGAGGAGGACGACGAGGTGCCGCCGACGCCCACGGGCTACCTCCTCGCTCAGGGGTTCGGCCCTGGCCCCATGGGGGGAAGGATCCAGCAAAAAAACGGCCCCTGGATCCACTGGCCCCGTGTTTTTATTCTAGGCCAGGAAAAAAAACTGGACCAGTGGATCCAGAGGGCCGTTTTTTTGTTTTCCTCTGGGGCCTTCCCCCCAGGGCCAGACCCCCCCAGTCCCCCTCACACAAATCGAATATGTTTGTAGACTGCCACAAAGGGAATACGTGTGTAATTCCGCCACAAGCGGAATCTATTTGTAGGCCCCCAGAAAGGGAATCGATGTGCGACACCCACAAACGAGGTAAACAGGTAAACAGAGAGGAAGAGAAAACGGGCGCCCCCTCCAACAGTCTTCGGGGCAAAAAAAGCAGGGGCACCGATATGCGCGTGCACCCACGTGATTTTCGCTCCCGGCGCCTGTGTTGCCCCCTGGAAGTTCAAAACAAAATTGGCGTTAGTTTCCCCTTATTCACAAGGAAAACCATGTGTTGAAAGTGGTCAAGACGATACATGTTACCTCCTTTGGCTGGAACGATAGCCTGTCGCAGGTTACCACTCCAGCCTAGTGAGCGCTAGAACGATAACCTTTCTCAGGTTACCTCTCCAGCCTAGGGCACGCGGACGCGATAACCTTGTTCAGGTTACCTCGCCCGCGGCTGGAACGGTAACCTTCCTCAGGTTACCACTCCAGCCTAGTGCGTGCTAGAACGATAACCTTTTCTCAGGTTACCTCTCCAGCCTACTGCGCGCGAACGCGATAACCTTGTACAGGTTACCTCGCCCGCGGCTGGAACGGTAACCTTTCTCAGGTTATCGCTCAAGCCTAGTGCGCGCTAGAACGAGAACCTTTCTCAGGTTACCTTTCCAGCCTAGAGCGCGCCGACGTGATAACCTTGTTCAGGTTACCTCGCCCGCGGCTGGAACGGTAACCTTTCTCAGGTTACCGCTCCAGCCATGCGCTTGAAGGTTCGTTTCACCCTCCAAATGGGGGCCATATTCTTGCTCAGGTTACGGCACCGATTGCTAGAGCGATGCAAGGTTTCTCAGGTTACCTCTCCAACCGAACGCTGGCGGAAGCGATCGCCTTGCGCAGGCGACCCTTCCCGCGGCTAGAACGGTAACCTTTCTCAGGTTACCTCTCCAGCCTACTGCGCGCGAACGCGATAACCTTGTTCAGGTTACCTCGCCCGCGGCTGGAGCGATAAACTTTCTCAGGTTACCACTCCAGCCACGCGCGCGAAGTTACGTTTCACCCGAACACGGGGACCAACTGGAGACGATGATGATGATGATGCTGATGCTGATACTGATGCTGATGCCGATGCTGATGGTGATGATGATGATGATACTGATGATGACAATGACAATGGTCATGATGATGATGATGAGGAGGAGGAGGATGAGGATGATGATGCTGCTGATGACGATGACGATGCTGAGGATCATCATCATGACGACGACGATAATGATGAGGGGGAGGAGGAGGAGGAGGAGGAGGAGGAGGAGGAGGAGGAGGAGGAGGAGGAGGAGGAGGAGGAGGAGGAGGACGACGAGGAGGAGGACGACGAGGAGGAGGAGGGAGGAGAAGGAGGAGGACGACGAGGAGGAGGAGGAGGAGGAGGGGGGGGAGGAGGAGAAGCAGGCAGGATGGGGGGGCATGGGCAAGAGGCAAGACGAGCAGACTAAGGCATTAGGGAAAGGCATGATGAGTAGGCAGGGGGAAGAAGCAGGATGATGAGTCGTCAGGAAGAGCATGATGAGGAAACCAGAGGATGCGGGCGAGGAGGATGCGGGGGAGGACGACGATGAGGAGGCGATAGTAGGATGGTGATAGTGAGGCATGATGGTGACGCATGTAGATGATGATGATCAGGAGGAAGAGAGGGAGGAAGAGGAGGAGGAGGAGGAGGTGGAGGAGGAGGACGACGACGACGAAGGTGTCTGAGGTGTCCGGGGTGTCCGGGGTGTCCGGGGGACGTGTCCGGGGTGCCCGGGGTGTCCGGGGTGTCCGGGGGTTGTATCCGGGATGTCCGGTGTGTCCTTTAGCAGACGTGTCCGGGATGTCCGGGGGACGTGTCCGAGGTGTCCGGGGTGTCCGGGGGGCGTGTCCGGGGGACGTGTCCGGGGGACGTGTCCGGGAGACGTGTCCGGGGTGTCCGGGGTGTCCGGGGGACGTGTCCGGGGTGTCCGGGGTGTCCGGCGGACGTGTCCGGGGACCTGTGGGGGACTCTAATGCGTCTTTGAGGCGACGTTGCATTCAAGGCCACTCCAAAACTAAGCGGGGCCTAACGTTGTTTGAGCCTTGCCTTGCAACGCCAAAGAACTTTTAAAAACGCCCAAGAACTTCTAAACACGCGGCGACGAGAACCTCCAGGAACGCCCAAGAACCTCCAAAACGACGTCGTCGTGTCCGTGTATGCTGCCCTCGCTCCGACTGCCTCCTCGCCGACCCGCGCTTGCCATATGCGAGCGGCAACGACCGCCCAAGAGCTGACCGCCTGCTACCCCTGCTCTCACGGGGGTTGTCCTCCAGTCTCCCTGCCCCGTAGCCTGTAGTTAGAGGCCTCCTAGATGGGGTCGGAGTAGATGGGGTCGAAAGATCTCGCCGCATCGCCGATACATCGGCGATGCATCGCCGATGCATCGGCGATGCATCGGCTATGCACTGGCGACGTCGGCGATATTTCCGCGACTTCGGCGTGGAGCAAATCGGGCCCCACATCGAGCCGCATCGCCGATGCATCGGCGATGCGGCGAGATCTTTCGACCCCATCTACTCCGACCCCATCTAGGAGGCCTAGAGTAGTAGGACACGACCAGTGTACCGACTGGGCGCGCCGCACCAGACCGGACCGACTCCCGCCTCCCGGGCGCAGGCGGGGCGCGCGGCCTGATGTCGACGACACGCCCCGCGTGCGGCCTGCTGCGGGCCAGCGAGGCGCGCTCCGTGGGGAAGCAGTCGTCGTTGGCCTGGGGGCGGCCCGCTCCTCCTCCTCCTCCTCCTCCTCCTCCTCCTCCTCCTCCTCCTCCTCATCCTCCTCATCCTCCTCATCCTCCTCCTTCATCCCACCTCCTTCCTTCCTTCTTTCCTTCCTTCCTTCCTCCTCCTCCTCCTCCTCCTCCTTCCTTCCTTCCTTCCTTCCTTCCTTCCTTCCTTCCTCCTCTTCCTTCCTTCCTTCCTTCCTTCCGTCCTTCCTTCCTTCCTCCTCCTCCTCCTCCTCCTCCTCCAACTCCTCCACCTCCTCCTCCTCCAGGATGAGGGGGAGGAGAGGAAGGGAGAGGGAAAGGGGGAGGGAGGAGGCGACGGTGGGGAAGCAATCATCGCTTCTTTGTTCGGCAGCGGTCGTAAGCCAGAGGGGGATGGGTTGAGGCCCCGGGCAACAGGAACCCTTGGGCGGGCTGGGGCACGTCGGGGCGGGGGTGCGCTGTGATCGCCAGTGTGTGCGCGAGCACCACAGCCAGCATGCGAGGGGGGGTCCAACCCCCCCTCCCAGTAGGGGGGGGAGCCTGCATCCCTGCGCACGAGAATGGCCGCACGTAGGGGGGCCAGATGTTCATTACCGTCAGCCCGGGAGAGGAGGGGTTTGGCCCCGGTAACGGCCAGCACGCGCCAAAGGATAATTCGCCGGCCCAACGGGCCAGAGGCGTGCTAAGATCTCCGGTAACTGGTTCACAATTCTTCTAGTTCGGGCGCGCGGGGCGGCCCCTGGGGGTCCCCCGGCGAAAAGTACCCCGACCGCAGCCCGGGAAGGTCCCGGGAAGGTCCCGGGAAAGTCCCGGGAAGGTCTACTCAGAGATGGTTTCCTCCTGGGTACGCCCTCTCAGGCCCCCCAGAGCGCGCCAAGAGGGCCCCAAGAGGCCCCCAAGACTGCCCAAGAGGCCCCCGAGACGCCCAAAGGACGCTCCAAGACGCCGAAGATGATCCCAAGACGGCCCAAGAAGCCGCCAAGACGCTCCAAGTGGCCTCCAAGAGGCCTCACAAGGGCGCCCCGAGAGGCCAAAATCATCAAGTTTACTATGGTTTTGGAAGGATTTTGGCCTTGTCGCATATTCGGCTTTCCGATGCTCCAAGACGGCCCAAGAGGCCCCCAAGAGCGCACGAAGACGGCTCAAGAGGCCCCCAAGAAGGCCCCCAGAGAGCCCAAACGGGCCCCGAGACGGCCCAAGAGATGCCCAAGACGGCCCAAGAGAGCCCCAAGACGGCCCCAAGAGGAGCCCAAGATGGGGACCACGAACCGAAACCTCAAGCCTTCCGCCCCAGGAGGGCCCCAGGAGGCCCCGAGAGGCCCCCAAGATGGCCCAAGATGCCGCCAAGAGGCCCCCAAGAGACCCCAGGAGGCTCCGAGGAGGCTCAAAAGAGGCCCTAAAAGGCTTCAACAATGTCTCCCAGGCGCCCCCGGACGGCCTCTCAACAGACCCCAGGGCCTCCCAAAGAAGCATCTGGACGACGGCCCTGTTTGGCCCCAAGAGCGCCGCAAGATGCCATCGAGAGGCTTCCTCCTCCGCCCTTTTCTCTTCCTCCTCCTCATATTTATCTTCATCCTCCTCCGTTCCTTCTCATCCTCTTCTCCTCTCATCCTCTTCTCCTCCTCCCCTCCCCCTCCCCATCCCCATCTTCCTCCTTCCGGCGGCGCCGAAATGGCCCCGAGCCCGCGCCGAAGCAGTAGCGATCATGCAATACGGTTCAGGCATGCAAAAAAATTGCTCCCGCCGGCAGGGTCGCCCCAAGCCGACCATCCAAGATCAACAACCAAACCCACCACCCGCATTCACTCCGATCACTCAGGCAATCGACAGCCGTGCCCCAATATGGGCCGGCGGAATGAGCGAAGCGATTAAATAAAAACACAAAAAAAAAAAAAAAAAAAAAAAAAACTGGAGTCGTCGCTGTCAGTCGAGCCTGGTGGTCTGTGGTTTGTGGCTCCCGGGTATTATCTGTGTTAAGTCGTGTACGTGCTGTTTGAACAACGCAGATCCTGAATTCGCTGATTTTCAGGGGATCATCGCGCGACGTCCTGGGCCTGACGCGTGACTGTTGGGGGTCACCGCGTGACTTTCCAGAGGTCTCGAGTGTGGCTGGAGAAACGCGGGTTCAGCATGCCCGAAGGCGGTCTCTGGGGCCATCCTGGGCCACCAGTGGAGGCCTCTCGCCCCGGCTCGACCCCGCGGGGCCAGCCCACGAGGCCAGCACTGCGCAAGCCCCCGCAGGCCTCTGATGCCGCTTCGCGCATCCGCCTGTGCCGCTGCGAGAGCTCTCTCCAGCCATCGCTACAGCACGGCCCAGGAGCCCCCGAGAGCAGGGGCCCCCGAGAGGCCCCGCACCGAGAGGTGTGCCCAGCGGCGGGGCCGTGACCGGCGGCAGACGGCCGACTTCGTGCCCCACCCTCCTTCCCGGCTCCCCCCCCCTCTTCGGGAGCGGCCAAGAGGGGGGTGTCCAAGAGGGGTGGGGTGCAAATCATGACCGGCGGCATGTGCGCGGCCCAGCGGGGAAGCCAGGGACGTCATGAAATAAGAAGAGGCGCCATGAAATCTGGGGAAATATCATGGCCCCCACCATGATATCCACCCCCCCTAGTCATCACCCCCCTCTTTTCCGCCCCCTCCGTCTGCGTCCGCCCCAAGCCACGCCCCCTCGTGGCCGCGCTGGCGGTCCCGGCCTCGGAGATGTGCAGCGCGCGCGAGGACCGGTCCTCGCCCACCTCGAAGGTGGTGTAGTACTTCCTTCGCGTCTCTCTCTCTCTCTCTCTCTCTCTTTCCCTCTCCCTCTCCCTCCCTCTCTCTCTTGGGGGGAGTGGGGGAGGAAAGTCCACACGAACAGAGGGCCCAACGCTCTTTCCCTCTCTCCGTCTCTCCCTCTCTCTCTCTCTCCTTCTCCCTGTCGCACACGCATGCGCGCGCATGCACTTTTGCGCCCCTCCGACGGGCTGACGCGCGGCAGCCCGCAACGCACTGAATTCGAGAAGCCGGGCGAGGTGAACCCCGGTGCACGAGGGGCGCCAGGGCGCGGTAGGCACGCGCGAGGGCGGGGGCGAGGGCGAGAAGGGCGAAGAGGAGGGAGAGGGAGAAGCAGCATTGAAGGGGCCCCAGGACACACAAATAAATACACACAAATACAAGGATTCCCAGGAGGCAGCGGGAGCAGGATGCCAGGAGCAGAGAGGTCGGAAGCAGGGAGATTGAGCAGACCCTCGGCCACGGTTACCTCGGGACTGGGCCTACAATGATCCATCGAGCAGGGAGTGCGGATGAGGGATCAAAAAAAGAGCACAAGACGTGCCGACCGAGCGGCATCCGAAACAAGGGGGCCAGGGAGAGATGGTCGTAGCGGCTCAACGCCAACGCCAACAAACTGATCCGCTTGGTGTGTTCATGTTTCCTCCACTTCTGAATACTCCGCCATTGGCCTAATCTCCCTTCCACCAAGTCGGTCGCCGCGTCTCCCCACCATTCCTGTCATCGCGCTTACCGCTCGAGTCATGACCTCCGCACTACTACAACGGGTCGATCCTCCCACCCAAGCTCGTGAATCTTCCGTCCGTGACCCTGGTGTCCCATCGCGGCCTTGATGAGGGACGCACACTTGCGGCCGTCGAAGCACACTGCCCAGAGAAACAGGCGGCCGGGGGCACACATCCTCACGCCGGCAAGGAGGCCAGGAGAATCTCCTCGGCCCCCCGGCGGGGGGCGCCCAGCCCACCCGGGAACCGAAGCACGCCCCCGCCCGCGCAGAGGCGGCAGGCCGGGGAGCGGGAGAAAGAGAGCGGGAGGCGGGAGCAGGAGCCAGCTTCCCCCGCCTCCCCCGCTCCCCCCGGCAGTCCTGAAGAACGGCATCCCGAACACCCAGACGGGCCCCTGCTCCGATTCCATGTAGGACTCCATGAGCAGCACCTGTCCCCCTTCCCGTGCCCCGCCGGGCGCGAAGGGGGCGCGGGACGGCGCGTTGAGGTCCTCGTCGCCGCCGCCGCCGGAGGCCTCCCAAGGGGGGGGGTCCGAGCGGATGGGGTCGGAGGATCGCGCCACATCAACCGATTCATCACCGACGCATTGGCGATGCATCGGCGACGCCGGGGTTGGGGAAATTGAGCTCCACGTCGCGTCGCATCGCCGATGCGTCGGCGATCCGGCGCGATCCTCCGACCCCATTTACTTGGACCCCATTGGGGAAGCCTGGAGTCGTGGGGAGGCGGACGTCCCCCACCCGGCCGGCGGCCAACCCGGAACTATGCCGACTCCATGAGGGCCCACCCCCTACCATCCCTGTCCAAAAAAAAACCATACAAACCGCACGTTGCCTCCACATTTGGAGCGTGCGCGGCCAATCCGATGCGCCCCTCCCCCCACCATCCCTGTACAAAAAACCAAGCAAAGTACACTTTGGGACAAAGTCTTGGGTCATGTGCGCGAGGCCCGCGAGCACGTTGCATTGCGAGCACTCTTGGCCCAACGGCTCGCCTCGGCCCCCGAATTGCTTGAGGTCCTCGCGCCTCTCACCCTCCCAGATGCCCTGGCCGTTGAGCTGGCTCCTCCTCGCCCCCCCCCCCCCTGACGGCGACCGCCTGACTCTGATCTCCATGGCTCGTTCCGGACGGGCGCTAGGCCGCCGGGGCCTCGAGCGGCCGACCTCGGCGGAGGAGATCGCAGCTCCGCCACTAGACCCACGAGCCCCCAAGCTATCTCGGCCACTCAATTCGGCCAGCTGTCACGGAGTTGCTCTGCCCAGCTCGAGGGCGTCGAGAGAAAGAGGCGGCGACGCAGACGAAGGAGAGCGGGAGAGGTGAGAAAGCATGCACTGCGGCGCCAGTGCACACCTGATTTTTGCACATCAACATCTGCAGACCCTCAGCAGGAGGACCTTCCACCACTCTGTCTGGAGAGCGACTCAGACAGGCTGAAGCGAGGTTAGTCTGAATCGCGGGACCTCTGGGCAGCGTCGGCTGCACACAACGATGCCCGAGAGAGCCCCGAGCGCAACGGCAGGGCGCATGGTCGGGGGGGGCGGGGCGGCCCCCCCGCGCCTCCACGCGAAATCGACAACTAAAGGGGCGCCCCCCCTGAGCAGCGGTCACCGCGGAGGAGAAATCGCCCCGCGGCCGCGCAACAAGGGGGCGAGGACAGCACGAGGCAGCGAAAAGGACGGCCAGCAAGGCCTGCCTCACCGAACTCCAAGGCCCGAGTTCCAGGGCTGGCTGCGCAACCAGCACCGCCAAGCCGGACGACGCAAAACCCCAGATCGACCCCGCCACGTGAGTCCAGCAACCGCGGAGACAAAATGAGCGGCCCTCCTGAGCAGCCGTCGCCGCGGGGGGGCATCCCCCATCGGGTCCCCACGGCCGCGCACAGGAGGAGGTGGCCACAAACGTGGCGGTGACCAGAACGGCCAGCATCGGCTGCCTGGCAGAACCCCGCGGCCCGAATTCCAGGGCCGGCTGCGAGACACCAGCGCCGCCAGAGAGAGCGACGCAAGAGCCCCAGATCGACCCCGCCGCGCGAGTCCAGCAACCGCAGAAGAAAGAACATAAATGGTGAACACACGCAGGCGTCTCCAGTCAGAGCCGGACAGGCCCCCACCCACCTCCAGCCCCCACCACCATCGTCGGAAAAGACGGACGACAGCGAGCGCGACGATTACCCTCCAGGCCGCGCCAGAAAGACCCGCGGGAGCCCAGCCGTTGGCCATCAACGCAAGAGTCGCCAGCCCCGTGGCCGTTAGCACTCAAAGCGGCACCCCGGCACCCGAGGCTGCAGCGAGGAGACGCCTAGCGACAGCGCCCACGCGCAACTCTCGAGCAACATCGCCCTCCTCCGAGAGGGCGGGGGGGGTCACGCGCGGGCGGGGGCCCCCGCCTCCTCGCGCGGCCGGGCGGCCAGAAGGGGTCCGCCCACGGCGATGGGGGGGGCTTAACATTTGCTCTCGCTTCCGCGGCGGGGGGCGGCGGCCCTGACACAAATACTTCCACGCGGTTCTACCCGCGCCTGGCTCTTCGCGGCCAGCGCCGGCCCCCCCACGCTTCATCATTATTCCGCCAGCGCCGCCAAAAAGACTATCGAGACAGATGCACTGGCAAGACCCATCAGAACCATCCATCTACGACAGCACAGCGGTGGCCCCGTTTCTGGAGGCGCTGGGGGCTCAGACGAGGCACGGCAGAACACGCCCCATCCGAAGGGCGGCTAGCTCAGCGCCTAATTACCTTGCAGACAACGCAGACACTGCCACACTCCCCGTCCAGAACCAATCGCGCACAAGCTTGCCTTCGCGGCCCTTCCTGGGAGGACGCGCGCAGGCCGCGCTGGCCAGGTCCAATCGAGGCCACCTTGGGAGCAACTCACTGGCCAGCAGAAGCGCACACCTCGAAATCTAGAGGGAACGCTCAATCTGGCCCCGAACATCAGGATTTGCCGCGGCGTGGGGACCGGCGCCCCTCTTCGCAGCGCCGCCTGCCCACGAATTACCCTGCCTCAGAAACTTTTCCCCCGAGCTGATGCCAATCTCCTCGACGCCCTTATGCGCGGGGGCCCCCATCACTTCTCCGATGAGAGAGCCGCCCCTAGAATCGCCCAACACCGAGCCAGCCTGGGCCCCTAAGACCGCAGGGTGGCACTTGAAAGTCCCGCCCGCACTTGGCAAACGATCGCCCAATCGCATCGCACGGCGCCCGGCGGGGAGACGAGGCAGGTCGGCCCTCGCCCCTGGACGCCCGAGGCGGATTGCGTCGGCGCCCAGGTCGACGCCGCCCCCCGACATCTCCCGCGAACTACCGGGGGCGAAGGCAGCGCGTCCACTCAGGGGGCGCCTGGCTCTATAACTCCCATTTTGCCCCGGACGCCCGCAGGGGCCAAAGCTGCGCCCAGGACCTCGGCCCCGCGCCGCGGGCCGAGCGTTTGCGAGGGGGCGCCTCTGGCACCCCAAGGCCGATCTTACGTCAGAGCTGACGGCGGCGCCCTGAGGACGGCCTGCCGATCAAACCCTCGCCGGCCGCGGTGCCCACTATCATCTCGCCCGTCGGGGTGGCCGTGAAAATGGCCATGGCTCGGTCAAATGCCTGCTCCTCTTGCTGGTCCGGGTCGAAGATGTTCACGCGGACGAAGCCCGCGATCGCGCCCGCGACGCTCGCGGCGGCCCCCGCAGTTGCACTCTGGCCATTCCACGCCGGACATTCACGAGACCAGTGGCCCTTCTGGTTGCACGCGCAGCATCGGGTCCTCTTGATCAGCTCGGACAGCGGCAAGCGAGACTTCGGGGCCGGAATTGCCCGCCCGCTGAGCGGCGGCCCCGCTGCTGATGTGACTTCTTCGGCGGATCGGGCCCACCCTTGCTCCAAGAACTTGCGGCCCACCTTCGTCTTGCGCTTGAGATCTCATTCCTGTGTCAAAGTCTTACGTCTCTCGTCTTCCATCCTCGCGAATGCCTGAGGCAGCTCGTCACTACAGAGTCCCATGCCCTCCAAAGTGACGCATAGTTCCCGCTCGCCGTCTGCGCCCAGAAAGGAGACACCGTCGTCATCGACAATAGAGTCGCCCTCCTGGTCGTCCGTCGCTACGCAATATGTGGACTCATCTATTGGGAAAGTATACTCTGTGACATGCGACCTCTTCTGAAACGATAAGTTTTCGCGACGGGTGACGCCCATTTCACGAGTGGCTGCCACGGCGTCGCTGCACGAGCCCCTGGTCTCCATCATCACGCGCATGAGCTGCTGGCCTCTCTCGCCCAGTCCCACGCCCTCCTCGAGGAACATGAACTTCTAGTCGCCTGGGACTGGAAGGCCCAGGGTGGCGACCTTGTGGAATGCCAGGTCGGTCCTGGCCGCGTATTCGGCAAGGCCCTCGCCCTGGCGTCGTCGGAAGGAACAAGGCAGTCTCTTCCGGCACGTATTTTCTCATTATTTTTTCCTCACGACAGCAGGTCAAAGTGCTCGAAGATGTGATCAGCCCCTTCTCGGAAGCGAGCACCTCGTCTGTGAGGTCGTCATTTTTCCGCTGGAGGTCGAGTGGAGCACCTTGAAGATGCGGTCGGCATGTTCATGCAATGCCACGGCTGCACCCAAATCATCTCCCTGTCCCCAACCCTTCCAGCTGGATTCGTCCCAATAACTGGCCTTCCAATTGGCGTCCCAATCGTTCGACGGTCGAATGCGGTCCACGTGTGATGAGGCGGCTCGAGACCGACTCTGACTCCAAACACTCGGGGTCGCGCCACGGGTCTCCGTCATCCTGTGCTCCGCCACTGGTTCGCCCATTGCCTGCAACTGCGTCTTCTCGACTCGCACGGCTGGACACTTGAACCTGGTCACGCACCGCTCGGATGATCTGTTCCAGTTGATGTGCTGAGATTCCCGTGGAAGAGGAGGGGCTCGAGGCAGGCGGCACCGCTGGAGGCGCCGTTCAGACTCTGCAAAGGCCCCAGTGAGCAGCGTTACGAGCTGCTCCTCCGTCGTTATGTTTTGCTCGTCGGCCCTGTCGTGCTGTTCCCAATGCTGTACCGATCGGTCCCGGCCCGCCTTCGCCGAGCCGTGTGGAGAAGTTGCATGACGTTCTCCCGACATCATCACGGTCCACAGATCAAAGCCTCCTTAGAAGCTCCGCTACCACTGTTCCCCCACGAAGGATGTCGGAAGATACGGTACTGTCCTCTCAGTCTTTCTGCTCGCACTAGGCTCCAGTGCGATCTCCGCTAGCACAGCACTCCGTCCACTCGCGGACAAAGACCGTGGAATGGTAAAGGAATGGGTGTGAAGGATCGGGATTTGGAAGGAGCGGTGGGTAACTCGGGATATCAACAAATTGGTAGAGGAAGACGTCTTCTCTCTATACCGTTCAAGCCCAAAGGGAGAAGCCGAGGGTTGGGTCCCTTCGTCAGATCAATGAGCCGTAGGCGCTGATTCCCGCAAAATATCAAGCGAAACGCCCGGCCCAGCCTACAGACATGCGGGAGACTGACTTAGAAGATGGAGGGAGAAAGGAGGAAGAAGGTGCGAGGGGGACGCCTCAATCCCCTCTCATCTCTCGTCCATCCTTTCTTCTTCGGCCTCCCACCTCCCTCGGCCGCCCTCCCCCCTCGGTCTCCCTCCACTCATTCGCCCTCCCGCCTTGCGTCCACCCTCAGCACTCGCACCCTACTTCTCGCATTGACTCCTGTCTATGCTGTTGCCTGTTCCCGGAGGAGACCTTGCACTTGGGTGCTTCTTCCTCTTCACGAAGGAGGGTGCTGTTCACAGAGGTCTGGAACTCGGGACCAAGCCTCATGAGGTTCAAGCTCGCGAGGTTCTTCGGCGGGGCACCCTTCACCTGTTGCTGCTGCTGCTAAGCGGGGGGATGGTGGCTGAGAAAACGACACAAGCAAGAGGCAAAACTCCGAATTAGAGATGGGATGCGAAGGAACAGCTGAACGACGAAGAGGATCCACCACCATGCCTCCTGGCGCGTTGATGCGTAGGAGAACGCCAAGTTATGTCCGATTGGGTTTCTGTACTCTGATAAGCCCCCCCCAGACGCAGGCATCTGCATGCACCCCCCCCTCTCCCGAGGCTCTCTGGGCAGACAGATGCGTACCTGGCGCCCTCCAAAGCGTCAAAGAATATAAGGGTTGCTTCCAAAGCGGTCCAAGAAGGCCACCAAGGCCGCCAAGTTGTTCCAAGATAGACGGCCCAAGATGGGCTCAGGACTGCCCGAAGCTTTTCAGATGGCCCAAGAGGGTTCCAAAAGAACCTCCGGCAGGGTCCGAAGAGGACAAAATCATGGATGACCTGTGGGTGTGTGATTGCATTCCGTGAGCTCAAAAGACGGCCCAAGACCTCCAAGGTAGACCCACGACGGCTCACGAGGGCCCCAACGAGAGCCCCAAGATGGCCCAAGACGGTTCCAAGACAGCCAACTCAGTACTGCAGGTTCCTGTCGTGTCGACCCCGGCGTTGGTTCCCGACACCGCGCTGGATCGTTCAACCTTGAACGATCGGCCGTCTCCGCAACGTCCGATCGTTCAACATCGACCGATTCTGGGCCGCCGTCGGCGTTCAAAGTTGAACGTCGGCGGCGGGGTCGCCGCCGGTCGACACGACGCGAACCTACCGTATCCTGTACGGCTCCAAGACGGCCCAAAAGGGCTTCCCGTGGGATCCCAGACGGCCTTCTACCGGCCTTCGGCGGCCCACGACGGCCCTCTACGGCCTCCAGGCATCCACCATACGGCCAAGAGGACTCAATCAAGAGGGCCCAGGAGAGCCCTGCGACGGAGCAAGAAGACCGCATGACAGCTCAAGAGGCCTCAAAGAAAGAATCAAGCTGGATTTCCGAATTCTCACATGTTCGGGCTTCCATCAACTGAAAGCCATTCGACGACCCAAAACGGCGCCAAGGCGGCCTCGAGACACCCCACAGGCAGCTCCCAAACGGCGCAATACAAAACCAAACGGCCCAAGGTAGCGGTCGGAGAGCAGCGTTTGGCTGCAGCGCGGAGCATGTCGGTTGCCTGCTTGTGGTGGTCATTGACTGCTACTTGTGGTGGTCATTGACTGCTGTGTCCCATGTAGGGTGCGCCTGGTTATCGAGCAGGTTGGCAAATGTTGCCTGTCTTTCTGGGTCCTGTATCTTGGTCGCGCCGTAAAGTATAAATTGGATGGTGGCGTTTTTGGTAGTGCTACGTGCATGGTGAAGCGTGGCCTAGATTGGGAAGTTGTTTTCGCGTTTTTCTGCGGAGTCGTGTTGGTTGTCGATGTAGAGTTCTTGGATGCATGGTGTCCAGCCGTTGGCGATGGCCACGCAGTCGCTGCGGTCTTTTCGCCGTTTGTTTTTGTGCGGTTGTGCGTGCGTATGTGTGTCGGTTCGTGCCCAGCCGTTGAGTCAATGCACGTCAGGCCGCATGCTGCCGTGGGTAGTCTTACTTGCGCTGTGTCGTCGTCATCCTTGCTGCAGGGGATTGGTGGTGCTACGTTGCCTCTGCCTGGCGAGGCGGTGCTGGTGCGGCGTGCATTGAAGCCGGGCAAGATGAATGCGGATGGACATCTGGCTGCCGGCGCGCGAAATGCTTCCCACCAGTTGGCTGGGCGCTTGGGGCCGCGCTGCACATGGGGGGGGGCGCGAGCAACCTAAATGGCCCCGACGATCATTGGCGCTCGAAATTTGGTGACGAGTAGTCGATGAGACGCATGTGAGACACGGACTGTTGACATTTGACCCAGGGCTGCTGGTTGAGTCCAATCGCATCAGGTATTGAGGCTTCACGAAGAGAGCGCATCCAAGCTTGAATTGGCGTTGCGGTGTGGTAACTTGTAAGAACGCGCCAGCAGCGCCCCTGAAACGCTTCGTGCTGTTGTTCTTGTACATCCACGACCCGGGCGTTGTGAAGAAGCGCCTGCGCTCGTAGGCGCTGTCCTCTGGTTACTCCAGGTCTCTCGATAAGCGTGGGGGGGGTGGATCGCGCGGGGGCGCTGGAAACCGCTGCCCTCCGGGGGGCGCGCGGAAACTGGGGAGCGAGAGGGGGCGGGTTAGGGGCGCGCGGGGGGGCGGGCAAGGGGCGTCGGACAGGTTGGCGCGGGGGGGGGCTTATTGAAAGATCTGGAGCATGCGTTGATGAACAGTTTTTTTTGTCGCTGGTCTGTCCTTCGTCGAATGCGTCTAAGTCGGCTTTTTGAACATTGTACGTCGCTCTCTTGATGCGTAGCTCGGCGGCGTTGGAGTCGTTGTCGGTGAGTTGTGGTCGCGCGGTCACTGCACGCTGGCGTTGCGTAGTTGTGAGGGGGTCTTTTTGGCGCGCGATGCGCGCAGCGCAGCGTAGTCCGTCTTCTTGGATCATCGGGCAGGCGCACTGGTCATTGCCGATAGTAGCCTTGTGGACGGTCCAATATGTTTGGGTGGTCCGTCAGGAGTGCTTGCGCGGTGCTGCCGGGTTGCGCGCGCGCTGGCTCGTCCGGGTAGCTCTTCGTCGGCCTGTGTCGCTAAGCGACGGTTTGCCAGTGACTGCTAATTCCTTCCATGAAGGGTCATCGCGCCCATGTATGATGTACAATGATGTTGTGCCGTTTTTTAGCTGAGTGGAGGATGACGTGGGCTAGTCTTGCGACTGGGTCGTGGGGGGTCTCGATGTTGCGACACGGGGCGCATTGCTCAGTCAGCGCGGGTCTGCCTGTCGACGCGGGGCGGTTGCTGGGCTGCGTAAATTGCAACCCACATGGCGGCAGCTAGCTCGACATTTGCGCCGCCCAGTCGGGAGTTGCCAATATCGGTCTGCATGCTGCGGGCGATGCTGCCAGCGCAGTGGCCACTGTAGCTCGGTTGGTGTCCGTCGTAATGGACCGCTGCGAATGCCCATGCCGAGTTGTCTTTGGTTGTCCGCAATGGGCCGCGAGGCACGTGAGAGAGCCGCGCGGTCTGCAGCGGTCGCGCGCAGTACGGGGGCGCTGCCCGGGCGGCCAGGCGAGGCCCAATGTCGGCCAGGTCGCGTCGAAGCCTAATGCGGGATTGAGAATCGATAATTGCTTGACATGTTCCTAGGAATTGGCTGCTTGAGGTGGCGCACGCTGACGCTAGACGCCTGCGAGCTAGCGCCGTCAATAGCTCGTTGAAGTTGCCCTGCGCCGCCGGGCCCACGCGGCGAAGCGAGCGGCGTTGAGGCTGGCTCAGCAATGACAGGTGAAAATCTGCAAAGGATGAGCTGGGCCGTGCTCTAGTTGTTTGGCAAAGTCTGTTGGCCTGGGAAGACAGGCACAAATGTGCCCAGGCGAATTCCACGGGGGCCGCGTCGCGGCGAACTTCTCGCGGGCGAGCGCGGCGACTGAGGCCTGTCGCTGGTGGTGGGTGGCTCTGGGTGAAACTTTCCTTCGCAGTGAGCATTCAGAGTCGGATGGTCGGCGCGGCGCTTCGCATTGAGCTCCAATCTCTCGTTGCCGCGGGGCGCCCTAGTACCCGGGCGCGGCGCCCTTGGTTGTGAGATCGCTGCGTTGTGCGACTCGGCAGGCGCGGGCGGGGCGCGCGGGCGGCGGGTTGCTCCGGGGGTGGCAGGCTCGGCTGGCGCGATAGATGCTTCTTCGGCGGAGTCGACGGTCATGGTCGTAGGTGGTTGGTCCATTGGGTCTCCTGCGCTGCCGTCGCGGCGCGCCATGCGTCGAGGCTGGCGATGGGCGCGCTCGTTGGCGCGGGTGCGTCTACGATGTCGCTCAGTTCATCTCGCGGCCGTTACACTTCGCCTTCCGCTCACGCACGTTGCGAATGCCGTCGGCGAGGGTCTCATCGTTTCTATTCGAGCATGCTGCGCTGGCAGTCCACTAGTTGAATGATGCGCATGACTTCGTCGAGCTCCTGGTCTGCGTCGAGCATTGCCAGTTGTTGGTCTGGCCGCTGCGCTTGTCGCAGTAGCTCTCGCGCGGCCTTGTTCTAGTATCTGCAGTGATTGATCAGCCATTCTGGCGCAGGGGCTTGTCGTTGAGCTATTTCTGTGCGCCGTGTCTGGCAGTGGGCGCGCAGCTGTTACACGGCCCGTTGTACGCGTTCTTCGGTTGCGCGGGGTACTCTGTGGATGTCCTACATGTTTCTGTCGGGATCGATGGGCCGTTGTGCTGCTAGCTGTTGTTGGGCGCGCACTTCAAGCCCCAGTTCAATTGCGCGCTTGTTCTCGGCAGTCGAGCACGGCAGCGCTGTCATGTTTGGCCTGTTCCGGCTGCGGGTAGTAGTGGGGAACCTGGGTGGTGATATCATCGAACTGCCGGTGTCTGCGTTCGGCATGCTTGGCCGTCATCTTGGCGCGCCCTTTTCGTCTGCTGCGCGCTGCAGTGCTGCCGATTCGGCGCTTATGAGTTCCCCCCCTGCTTGTTGCAGCGATTGCAAGACATCTCGCGCATGGCGGCAGTCGTTTGACAGGTAGTCGCTGGCGGTTTGTAGTTGCTGGATGGTGTCTTCTGCGTCTGTGAGCTGTACGTGTACTTGGGTGTCGTTGGGACTGTGCTTGCGCTTCTGTGCTGATCGTAGCTCTTGAATGATTGCGTCACTTGCTTGTAGGTCGTCAAAGTGCTTGCGTGGGTCGCGTCTTGAGTCTTGTCGCGTCGTCCTGTGCGTGGGAGCCGGTTGGAATAGCTCTGAGTGGGCGCCGGGGTGTCTTCGCTTGAGAGGACGTGTTGAGCTGGATGTCCTGCGACAAGGGAGAGGTTGAGCGGCTGTCGCGTGGGCTAAGAGCGCGTTGCCGCTGGTGGATAGACTCCTTTTTAGATGTTGGTGCACGTTTGCGCGGGTCGCGCCTCGCGGTCGCGTCGTGCTTGCGCTTGCATGAGCGAGGCCTCGGAAAACTTGGCGCGCGCCGCGCAGTCGTCCTTGAGCTGTCTGATGCACTGTCGCTGCTCGTGCCTGCTTGGGCTTTTGGTCGCTTAGCTGTCTTGGGCAACTGCGAGTGCGTGCCGTAGCTGACCTGTTTTTCGTCCAGCCTTTTCAAATGCCAGAACTTGCGACGCAAGCTTCCTGATGTTGGCTGCTCTGGAGGTCGTCCATGCCCCCACTTCCAGCGGTGCCATGCCTGGTCGATCCCTTTGGAGGGGCGTCGTCGTGGCATGCTTCGGGTACGCTGTCGATGAGCGCCTTGGCCTCCTTGTCGACACATGCTGCGTGGTTTGGGTGGCTGCCGAAGCTGGACTGCGGTAGCTGGTTGTTGCGTGGGGTCTGGGTCTTGTCCTGTCGGTGCTGGGTCCTCTGTCTGAGTATGGTAGCTCTTCTTTGCCTGTGTGTGCACTAAGGTTGGCGCCAAGTTTAGATCGCGCGTGCGTCTGGTGCCGCGTTGACGTCAGCTGTTTTTGCTTGGTGTGCCTGCGTCGTTTGGGTTGGGTAATACGTCCGCGCTTACTGGGAAAAAAAACTGAACCCACTGTGGCCTATGGGCTGCCAGGTGGCGTTGTCGCCCTTTGCCGTAGTGCTGCTGGTGTTGGTGTTTATCTTTTCGTTTTAAATTTAGCTTGGGGCGCTGGCTGGTGTGTCCGTACATGTTTGTGGACTGTCCGTACATGCCTTCGGTCGTAGGTCGGGGATGTTGTGCACTGTGGTGCTGGTTGGAGTAGTGTCCTTGCTGATGCCACTCGTAGCAGCGTGCGTGCTGTAGCTCTTCTGTTCCCTCTTCCCTGCGGTGCCACGCGGGGTTGAGGGATGTAGCCGGGGTCTTGGTGGAGGTGGGTCTTGACCAAACTGACCGTTCGAGTGGTATTCGTACAACGCTGTTGTCGAAGCTGTGAGACGTAACGCGGATGCGAGAGGCACACACTATCAATATGTAATAGTGCCAGAAGGCGTGTGTATGAGAATGGGTGGGGAATGGATTCGTATGGGAATGGGATAGAAACATGGGATAGTGGGGAATCGTGGCCGATGGATCGGCGCACTGCCACTGGCGAGCCTGAAACGCGTGGCGGTCCGTGGCTCCTCCTCATCCTCCTCAGCATTATCAGCATCATAATCAGCATCAGCATCATCCTCATCATCATCAGCAGCAGCCGTGTCATCATCGTCAGCATCATTATCAGCATCAGCATCATCATCAACAACATCAACATCGTAATCATCGGCATCCTCACCATCATCAGCATCATCAGAATCATCACCACCAGTATTACCAGCATCATCATCAGCATCAGCATCAGCATCAGCAGCCGCATCATCAGCACCATGATCCTCAGCATCATCCACATGCTCCACATCGCCCTCACGACCACAACATCAAAAGCAACGACAACAGCATCAACATCAACCTATATAGCAACAACAACAGCATCATCACAACCATCGTAAGCAGCATCATCATCGCCAGCACCATCATCGTCATAATCATCCGCAGCATCATCATCATCAGTATCAGCAGCAGCATCGTCATCCTCAGAAGCAGCAGCAGCGCCATCGCCATCATCATCAGCATCATCAGCATCATCATCAGCACCATCATGATCCTCAGAAGCAGCAGCAGCGCCATCAGCATCAGCACCAGCATCATCATCACAAGCAGCATCATCACCATCATCATCATCATCATCATCATAATCAGAATCAGAATCAGCCACATCATCATCATCATCATCGTCATCATCATCATCATCATCATCATCATCATCATCATCATCATCATCATCGTCAGCATCATCGTCATCAACAGCATCGCCCACAACATCGACAACCTCACCGTCATCATCATCATCATCATCATCATCATCATCATCATCATCATCATCATCATAATCGTCATCAGCATACCCTCAAAACATTCATCCTCATCCGCATCAGCAGCATCATCATCATCATCAGCAGCAGCATCAGCATCATCATAATCAGAATCAGAATCAGCCACATCATCATCATCATCGTCATCATCATCATCATCATCATCATCATCATCATCGTCAGCATCATCGTCATCAACAGCATCGCCCACAACATCGACAACCTCACCGTCATCATCATCATCATCATCATCATCATCATCATCATCATCATCATCATCATAATCGTCATCAGCATACCCTCAAAACATTCATCCTCATCCGCATCAGCAGCATCATCATCATCATCAGCAGCAGCATCAGCATCATCATCATCATCATCATCATCATGTTCATAATCAGCATCATCGGTAGCGCCATCAGCATCAGCATCAGCAGCATCATCAGAATGACCACCACCATCACCATCACCATCACCATCACCAGCATCAACATCATCATCATCATCATCAGCATCATCATCATGAGCAGCATCGTCATCGCCATCGTAAACAGCATCATCATTTTCAACATCATCATAATCATCAAAATCATCGGAATCATCAGCAGCAGCATCATCATTTTTGCTATCGTCGTCATCGTTGTCGTCGTAGTCATCGTCGCAAGCATCATCATGATCATCAGCAGCAGCATCATCATCATCGTCGTCGTCGTCGCCGTCATCAGAAATATCTTCATCATCATCGTCATCGTCGTCATCATCGTCATCATCATCATCATCAGCATCATCAGCAGCAGCACCATCAGCATCGGCATCAGCAGCAGCATCAGCCTCAGCATCGGCATATTCCTCATCTTCATCCTCATCATCATCATCAGCAGCAGCAGCATCATTATCATCATTATACTACATTCCTTCCTTGCCTCCCTCCCTCGCTCCCTCCCTCCCTTCCTCATGTCCTTCCTTCCTCCTGCCTCGTTCTGTTTTTCACCACCGCAATCATTATCATATCCAACCTCCGCTCCCTTCATGTCCTCATCATCACCCTCCCCCCTCCATCTCCTCCCCCCCGGGGGGGAGCCTCCGCCATGTAGGAGTCCGGGGGCAGCGAGAGCAGCCCGCCTCGTAGGGCGCCACGCAGGGTGGGGGGGGCAGGCCGAAGATGGAGGCGCTCGGGCCGCATTTGCGTGCTCCTGGGTCTCGGGAGGCCTCCCTAGAGGAACAGAAAAGGCATAGCCGTAAACTTCTTGGACACGGTTCGCGCGGAATTCTTGGATCGCGCGGTGCGCGCAAGGGGCGGCGCCAGAGGCGCCGCGAGGGGGCAGGGGGGGGGCAGCGCCGATCCGAAGAATCTACGCGGACCTCCAAGAAATTATGCTCATGCCGTTTTCTGTTCTTGGACGCCAAAGGCCTCCAGCTCTGGAGCGACGTACTGTTTTACAACGCCTGTCTGAATACGGCAAAATCCGCCCCCTCGAGATCACAGCGGGAGTACACTCCAGGCGACTCCGAGATCCGACATCGCGAAAAATAAATGGACGACTCCGAAAGGAGCCCGAGACCCCAATCTCTTTCTGCGGCATTGCTGACAGCAGGATCCATATTCGAGGGCCTGGGGGTCCGAATCTGGGGAATAAAATGCCCAGCGCGAACAAGAAGTGCGCCACGGGGGCGCGCGCACCCGCCGTGGGCCCGAAACTGCCTGGACCCGAACCGATGGGAACGGCTGGCTGGCGCGCCTCGCCGAGGAGTGCGCATCCGCGGAGGGGCCCAGGTGGCGCCTGGCTCACGAATGTGAGGAGGAGAAAAAACACACAGACACCATTAATCGTCGATTCCCCAGAAAATATGGGAAAATACGGACAGTGGGGGGGAAGACAGACACCCAGAAAATACAGGAAAATATGGGGAATCCTTTTATTTGTGTGTATTTCTTTGTGTGTCCCAGGGCCCCTTCAGAATGGGCGAACGCATCCAAGCCCACGCCCTGGCGGTCCGGACTCCGGGGCGGGGTCCCGCGGACCCGCGGTCGCACGGCTACGCTCTGCGGGCACACCCACGAAAAACGCCCCCGTATCGGCGGGGTCGCGGCCCAGGGGCCCGGCCCGCGGGGCCGCGGATACGGACATGCTTTCCGCCCACGGTTGGCGGAGCAGCGTTGGGAAGAGCAGCCGGCGCCACCCCCTGACGGCGGACATCGGACCTGCAGCCGTCGCCGGCTGGGGCGCCGCGGGCGGGCGCCGTAGCGCCAGACATCTGAAACGTGCGAGGTGCTGGACAAGAGATCAACAGAGACACGAGAAACAACCACAGATACACGGAGAGAGAACAGATGCCGACCCGGGGCCCGCCTCCCATCTCGAAGACGAGGTTGGGCAGCTCGTGCAGCCTGCGCCGCGGGAGAGGCAAGGAGGGGGCGCGAGGGCGAGAGGGGAGAAGTAAAGGGGCCCCAGGACACACAAAGAAATACATCAGTAAAAAGGTTCCCCATATTTTCCTATATCTTCTGGGTTTCTGTCTTCCCCCCCACTGCCAATATTTTCCTATATTTTCTGGGGAATCGTGTCTGTGTGTGTTTTTCCCCTCCTGATTTTTTGACGGTTCGGGGTCTTTTTGGGCCTCTGGGCGGCTTCTCGTCGCCGCGGCGGGATCCCCCTTGAGCATCCTGTCAAAACGAACCACTGGAAAGATCAAGGAGTGTTTTTGTTATTATATATATACATATACATATACATACATACACATACACATACATATACATATACATATACATATACATATACATATACATATACATATACATATACATATACATATACATATACATATACATATACATAGACATAGACATAGACATAGACATAGACATAGACATAGACATAGACATAGACATAGACATAGACACAGACATAGACATAGACATAGACATAGACATATACATATACATATACAGATACAGATACATATACATATACATATACATATACATATACATATACACATACACATTTACACCAAAAAATGGAATACATAAAAAAAGACAGGCAGGGGAAGATGGTAGGGAAGGGGAAGGGGGCCGACCAGCCACGTGTCGCTCGCTCTCAAGGCCTGCGACCACCACGAACAGCTGTCTGGAATGCTGCGGGCAGCGAGGGTGACGGCGGTGCCACCGACGAGCTCGGGGGGCTCGGAAGTGCGAGGGCGCGGGCCCCGAGGGGAGCGCGAGAGCGCCCACGCCGCCCGTCGGCGTCTGCCAGCCGGCCGAACGCTCTGAGCATCTGGCCCGGCACCGCTGCGAGCTGGGCCAGCCTCTGCGCCGCTGGCGGTCGGCGGCACGCCTCGGCCGCGGGCGCACCGGAGGAAGCCGCCGCCGAGCTCGGCAGGCGCGGGCGGGGCCTGCACAGAGCTGGCGGAGGCCTCTCCGCCGAGCGGCGCCGCGCTCAGATCCCCCTGGCCGCTGCAGCCGCGCTGCAGCGGCTGCAGCCTAAGACGCCGAGTTCAGAGGCCGAACTGCTGGATTCCGTCCTTGCAATCGGCCATCTCCGCCACCAGAAAGCCGCGGCCGAAGGCGCCGAAGAGCCCCACCCAGTCGCGCAGGTCAGTTGCCCAGCTCCCCGGCTCATTGCATAGGTCGTCGCCTTTCCACTACATTGTTTCCACGAACGCAGCGATGGGGAGGATGAGGCAAGCGAACCCGAGCACGCCGAAGGGGTCGGTGAGCGCCCCGAACCAGGCAGAAGTACCATCGAAGCCAGAGAGGTTCACAAAGAGCTGGAACACGGTCCCGGAGGCGGTCATCATGGCCCCGTCGTCTGCAGTGCAGAAAACGAGAGGGAGCAGACGGGACCACGAGGCGCGCACAGAGGTAGGGCAATGTCTGGGGAGGGGGAGCGGGGCATGACGGAATTAGGGAGCGGGGGCCGGGGAAAAGGGCGGGAGGACGGGGGCTCAGGAGAAAGGGTGGAGGGGGCATGGCGGCGACGACAACATCTATGACGACGACGGCGGCGCCGACGACGACGGCGGCGCAAGCAAGCCCGAACCAGGCCCACCACGCGCAGGCGCGCGGACCCCCCGCACCAACATGAACAGCACATCATCCTACATCATCATCATCATCATCATCATCATCATCATCATCATCATCATCATCATCATCGTCATCATCATCATCATCATCATCATCATCATCGTCATCATCATCATCATCATCATCATCATCATCATCATCATCATCATCATCATCATCATCATCATCACCATCATCATCATCATCAGCATCAGCAGCATCAACACCATCACCATCGTCATCATCATAATCTTCATCAGCATCACCATCAGAACCATCATCATCATCATAATCATCATCAGCATCATCAGCATCATCATCATCAAGAATCATCATCATCATCATCATCATCATCATCATCATCATCATCATCATCATGTTCGTCATCATCGCCAACAACAGCAGCAACAACAACAATCATGTTAAGACTGTTCGCTCTCATCTGCCCGAGTGTCCGTCAACGCGTATTTCCCAAACCCTCGATACCCGCCCTCTTCGTCTTCGATCGTACCCCTTTTGGGGGGCAGACCTTTCTTCCCTGCAGGCCGGGCCCCGGCAAGCGGCGGGGCGGCCGCGGACCGTCGGCCTGGCCAGCGGCAGCGCTGATCGGCGGCAACCTGACCCCAAGAGGGACGGACAGGGGACCGACCACGACGACGACGACGACGTCGACGACGACGACGACGTCGACGACGACGACGACGACGACGGCGACGACGGCGACGACGGCGACAACGACGACGAGCGAAAGCGAGAGCGAGAGAGAAAACAACAGCAGGGCCACGAAGGGCACGAAGTAGGCCACGAAGGGCGACAACGGGGACACGAAAGGAATACGCATGGGGCCACGAAGAGCACGAAGGAGCGGGGGCCACGAAGGGCAGATAATGCGGGGCCACAGAAGGCAACGACGGGGCCACTGAGGGTAGCAACTGGGCCACGTAGGACAGCAAGGGGGCCACGACGGGTGACAGCGGGGCCACGAAAGGCATGCACATGGGGCCACGACGGGTGCGAACGAGCGGGGGCCACGGAGGGCATACGTATATTGGGCCACGGAAGGCAACGACGGGGCCACTGAAGGCAGCAACGGGGCCACGAAGGGCAGCGAGGGGGCCACAAACGGCGACATCGGGGCCACGAAAGGCATGCACATGGGGCCACGACGGGTGCGAACGAGCGGGGGCCACGAAGGAAATAGACATGGATGGGGCCACGAAGGGCAGCGAGGGGGCCACAAAGGACTGCAACGGGGCCACGAATTGCAGCGAGGGGGCCACGAGGGGCTGCAACGGGGCCACGAAGGGTAGCGAGGGGGCCACAAAGGGAGACAGCGGGGCCACGAAGGGCAGCGAGGGGACCACGAAGGGCAGCAACGGGGCCACGAAGGGCAGCGAGGGGGCACGAAGGGGTGCAACGGGGCCACGAAGAGCAGCAAGGAGGCCACGAGGGGCTGCAACGGGGCCACGAAACAAAGCCAGGGGGCCACGAAGGGTAGCGACGGGGCCACGGAACAAAGCGAGGGGGCCGCGAAGGGCTGCCACGGGGCCACGAAGGGCAGCGAGATCCCGATTCCTATGTAATCTGTGAGGGAGTCCTACGCGTGAGCGCGGCCCCTGGGTGCCTGAATGTCGGGGGCGCGGCGCTTGAGTAAAGCGCGGGAAATTCAAACGCAAGGGCGCTATTCCTGAGTAAACTGTAAGCAATTGGTTATCCAGCGAGTGCGCGATTCCAGAGCGCCGAGAAAACGATTCCTGGATAAACTGCAAGGAAGTCCCAAGCGAGCGCGCGATTCCTGAATAAAATGCGAAGGAGTCTCAAGCGGGAGCGGGGGTCCCGGCTAAATTGCGAGGAAGTCTCAGACGGGAGCCGTTGTTGTTGTAACCTGGGGGCGACGGGCCCAGTTCGAGCCTCATGAAAAACAGGGTGCGAGTCCCGGGAAAGCCACTTCAATTGAAAAAACAATGTGCACCAGTGAGGGATCAACAATAATTATTCTTAAGGAATGAGAATTCAACAACAACAACAAAAACAAAAACAAAAACAAAAACAAACACATAAACAAAAACAACATCAACAACAACAACAACAACAACAACAACGACAACGACAACAACAACAACAACAACAATCATTTAAGACTGGGGACACTCCGTTCTCACCAGTGCCAGGGTTTTCATAGGAGGCGGGCAATACCCCCACTTTGTGGGGGGGCCGGTTCAAGCTCTACCAAGTTTCCAAACGACTCTTCGCCACCACCCACACCCAGCTTCCCGCCCTATGACGTTCGGACACTTCACTTCGTGGCCTGCGGACGACCTTGGCTACTACACTGGCGCATGGGTACAGTGACTTGTTGTGGTAACATTTTGTGGAAGCTAGCTTAGTATACGACTTTTCCCCCTGTTCCAACACTGGACACCTGTACCGTTTTCCGACGTTTTTCCGTTTCTGTACCACACAAGCGAAGACACTTATTTTGAGTGGTACCACGTGCGTGGCGCCAGCATACCACAGGACTTGTTTCCGTTGTTGCGGAACGATACATGCTCATTCTTGTTCTGTGGTTGTCGTTCCGGCCTCAATGTGCAATACTGGCTCATTCGTCTACGAAATACACGTGACTAGCTCTCTCTGGTTGGAGGTCCTGATGGTTGTGGTTGTCCCGATGGTTGTCGCGATGATTGTCCCGATGATTGTCCCGATTGTTGTTCCGATGGTTCTCCCGATGGTTGTCCCGACGGTTGTCCCGATCGTTGTCCCGATGGTTGTCCCGATGGTTGTCCCGATGGTTGTCCTGATGGTTGTGGTTGTCCCGATCGTTGTCCCGATGGTTATCCCCATGGTTGTCCCGATGGTTGTTCCGATGGTGGCCCCGATGGTTGTCCCGATGGTTGTCAGCGATGCCGGATCCTCACGCCCCCCGCCGGAGGAGGAGGAGGAGGAGGAGGAGGAGGAGCAGGACAAGGCGCGGCGGCTCTGGACACATACGTGCTCTGGAGACATACTACAGAGAGGAGTCTTTGTGCTCATCATCTTCTGGCATACGCCTGTCTCTAATGGCACGCATCGGGCGCAATACTGCAAGCTGCGCTCCTGGCAGCAATACATCAGGGGCCAAGTGTCCAAGCATTGTGCCGATACGCCTCCTCGCGGATACATCGCCCGCGCGTGCGTGGGGCGCCAATACCGCCAGGACGCCCTGGACATGCGCCGGCATACCCAGATCCACCTGGTAATCCATGACATTCCCATACTCGGACTGCCCGCGATGGCTACGGATGGCTACGGATGTGACAGTGATCAGTGATTTTGTTCGA